GTTATTCTGCAAGAGGACCTGCCGTAGTAGCCTCTTACGATATGCAGTGGGGTACAGCAGGTCTCTTTCCCCGAATCTGTACAGACATTCTGTAACTTTTCTGGCACCTGTACAGACATTCTATAACTTTTCTGGCACCTGTACAGACATTCTATAACTTTTCTGGCACCTGTACAGAAATTTTGTAACTTTCCCCGAACCTGTACAGAAATTTTGTAACTTTCCCGGCACCTGTACAGACATTCTATAACTTTTCTGGCACCTGTACAGAAATTTTGTAACTTTCCCCGAACCTGTACAGAAATTCTGTAACTTTTCTGGCACCTGTACAGACATTCTATAACTTTTCTGGCATCTGTACAGAAATTTTGTAACTTTCCCCGAACCTGTACAGAAATTGTGTAACTTTCCCGGCACCTGTACAGACATTCTATAACTTTTCTGGCACCTGTACAGACATTCTGTAACTTTTCTGGCACCTGTACAGAAATTCTGTAACTTTCCCCGAACCTGTACAGAAAATCTGTAACTTTCCCGGCACCTGTACAGAAATTTTGTAACTTTCCCCGAACCTGTACAGAAACCTGTAACTTTCCCCGAACCTGTACAGAAATTCTGTAACTTTTCCCGAACCTGTACAGAAATTCTGTAAAAGACTTACCACAGTATGTTTGCACCACACGGGTATATTTTGATAACATTTACATCAATATTCGAACAACAAAGTCGCAAAATGTCATTATTATATATATCTCTTCAGATCATCAATGTCGCTATCTTGACTTTATTTCCATTTTAAGTCATGGCGTCATGTTTATTGTTTAAATTACTCCGTTACAGTAGGTACTTTAACATGGAAACTTTCGTGTTCGAAAAGTATTACACTGCAAAACATGATGAGCACATGTTTTCAGTCTTTATGAAAGGAGTGTATATCTTTCTATCTACATCTTTTAAAAACATGCTCAGGGTATTTGATTGCTAGATTACTCCATAAAAGTTGTGATATCAATCTTTTTATCAATGAATTCCTCCCAAAGCGCCCATTACAAATGAGAAATAAACAAACACATGTACATATAAATAAATTGTATTACAAAATAGCAGTACATCATTATATCAACTTCAATTATGACCCTAAACTAAATTGACGCAATCGTTGTCAAAAGTTGAGAAATAAGTTGTATAAACATATTGAGCATTGTTAATAAGTTATAAAAACATATTGAGCACCTTTAACACCATCGCTGTCAACAATTGAGGAATACGTTATATAAACATATTGAGCACCGTTAACACCATCGCTGTCAACAGTTGAGGAATAAGTAATATAAAATTATTGAACACTGCTAACACCATCGCTGTCAACAGTTGAGTAAGAAGTTATATAAACATATTGAACACTGCTAACACCATCGCTGTCAACAGTTGAGGAAGAAGTTATATAAACATATAGAGCACTGCTAACACCATCGCTGTCAACAGTTGAGGAATACGTAATATAAACATATTGAACACTGCTAACACCATCGCTGTCAACAGTTGAGGAATAAGTTATATAAACATATAGAGCACTGCTAACACCATCGCTGTCAACAGTTGAGGAATAAGTAATATAAACATATTGAGCACTGTTAACACCATCGCTGTCAACAGTTGAGGAAGAAGTTATATAAACATATTGAGCACTGTTAACACCATCGCTGTCAACAGTTGAGGAATAAGTTATATAAACATATACAGCACTGCTAACACCATCGCTGACAACAGTTGAGTAATACGTTATATAAACATATTTAGCACCGTTAAAACCATCGCTGTCAACAGTTGAGGAATAAGTCAAATAAACATATTGAGCAATGCTAACACCATCGCTGTCAACAATTGAGGAATAAGTTATATAAACATATTGAGCACCGTTAACACCATCGCTGTCAACAGTTGAGGAATAAGTAATATAAACGTATTGAGCACAGTTAACAACACCATCGCTATCAACAGTTGAGGAATAAGTTATATAAACATATTGAGCACTGCTAACACCATCGCTGTCAACAATTGAGGAATAAGTTATACAAACATATTGAGCACCGTTAAAACCATCGCTGACAACAGTTGAGGAATAAGTGTTATAAACATATTGAGCACGTCTAACACCATCGCTGTCAACAATTGAGGAATAAGTTATACAAACATATTGAGCACCGTTAAAACCATCGCTGTCAACAGTTGAGGAATAAGTGTTATAAACATATTGAGCACTGCTAACCCCATCGCTGTCAACAATTGAGGAATAAGTTATATAAACATATTGAGCACTGTTAACACCATCGCTGTCAACAGTTTAGGAATAAGTCATATAAACGTATTGAGCACAGTTGACAACACCATCGCTGTCAACAGTCGAGGAATAAGTAATATAAACATATTGAGCACTGCTAACACCATCGCTGTCAACAATTGAGGAATAAGTTATAAAAACATATTGAGCACCGTTAAAACCATCGCTGTCAACAGTTGAGGAATAAGTGTTATAAACATATTGAGCACTGCTAACACCATCGCTGTCAACAATTGAGGAATAAGTTATAAAAACATATTGAGCACCGTTAACACCATCGCTGTCAACAGTTGAGGAATAAGTCATATAAACGTATTGAGCACAGTTAACAACACCATCGCTGTCAACAGTCGAGGAATAAGTTATAAAAACATATTGAGCACCGTTAACACCATCGCTGTCAACAGTTGAGGAATAAGTTATATAAACATATTGAGCACTGCTAACACCATCGGTGTCAACAGTTGAGGAATAAGTCAAATAAACATATTGAGCACTGCTAACACCATCGCTGTCAACAGTTGGGGAATAAGTAATATAAATATATTGAGCACTGCTAACACCATCGCTGTCAACAGTTGAGGAATACGTTATATAAGCATATTGAGCACGGTTTTTACACTATCGCTGTCAACATTGTAGGGAAACGTTATATAAATATATTGAGCATTGTTAACACCATCGCTGTCAACATTGGAGGAGTAAGTTTTATAAACATATTGAGCATTGTTAACAAAATTAGAACAGCTGAGTTTTGATAACTAATTTCATTTGCCACTCGTCAAATTCACATACCAAGAAGTATGATATAAAAGTAAAGAAACATAAAATATATAACTTTATATTATGAAAACATATCCATTTAGTATTGAAAACACATTGTTCTGCTATATACAGGCCATAAGAATAGTTTCCCTGACAAGTCAATATATTTTTTCTCAATCTTCATACAGGGAACTATAGAATGCTCGGAATTATTCCAAGTAATGATATAGAACAGTGTTTACATAACAAAACAAAAATTACCAGTAGAGCAGCGGAAAAACTGCCTGGCTTATAGAGAATATATCGGTATTCTAATCCCTTTACTTGCTTTTTTTAAAGAAAAAGATAGATTATCATGAATATGTTCTAGCGTATAGTAACTCCAAAATATATAAATGGGGAACAAAGTGAAACTCTTATTCGTTATAGATACAACAGTACGATAACAGTTGACAATTCGGCCTTCCACGCAGGCGCCCGGGTTCGCTCCCCAAAGTCGTCGTCGTACGCATGGATATTCAGAGAAAGTGTTTTTATCCTGCCTACACAACTCCAACAAACCAGGTGGAGTATAAATTGGTCTGGGTGGGTGTTGCGGTATCTGTGCTGTAGCATTCAAGTGAGGTTGCGCTATAAATGATGCCGTTGGAAGCACGGTCCCACTACAAACAGAACGCATTACATCTCCAGCACACACACACAGGCATACACATATACGGGATTTAGCCAGGTGGCATAGGACTAGTAGTTGGCGCCTGATAAGGCAGCTCCTGCGAATTCCTCGAAATTGTATTTATTAATATATATGCTCTTTGAATTAATTGTATATTTATGTAATGTAAAGCGCTTTAGAGTGGCTTATATTAGCTAGATAGGGCGCTATATTAAATGTTTTATATTATTATTATTAAATTATTAAAGAAAATCGTGGTACTGTTTATGAAATGCTTGCTTGTGAAGATAATACTCAAGATTTCAAATATGCAACTAATTCATCCACAGCACATATCTTAAAAAACTACTCAATGATCAGCAGTTTAATAATTATCTACTCTGTTTCATTGCAAACGTTGATGGTCACGGTACAGACGCTGTTGTGATATTTCGTATTCCAGTCATTGTAGATATGTGTCCTGTCACTGTATATATGTTTCGTACCTTTCACACTCTAGTTGTGCAGCTTACATTCGTCACTGCAGATTGTATGTTGTTGATTTGCCAGTTTATTGTCAACAGTTTAACAAACAACCGTATGATGTTTACAATACAAGATATGTTAGTGTCGTTCCCCAAAAAGGTTGGTCTTGACCCGGGTCCAGACACTACCTTCGTTATGATAGGACTCGTAAACCAGCTTGCCGGTCTTGTTGTTAGGACCCCATTCCTTGTTCGGCTTCAACAACACTTTCAGTCTCTGTAATAGCAAAAGGCAAACATTGGTTGTTTATATACTGAACTTCCTGTATGTGTCGAGGTTGAGTGTTTTATCTAATTGGTTGTTTATATACTGAACTTCCTGTACCTTTCACACTCTAGTTGTGCAGCTTACATTCGTCACTGCAGATTGTATGTTGTTGATTTGCCAGTTTATTGTCAACAGTTTAACAAACACCCGTATGATGTTTACAATACAAGATATGTTAGTGTCGTTCCCCAAAAAGGTTGGTCTTGACCCGGGGCCAGACACTACCTTCGTTATGATAGGACTCGTAAACCAGCTTGCCGGTCTTGTTGTTAGGACCCCATTCCTTGTTCGGCTTCAACAACACTTTCAGTCTCTGTAATAGCAAAAGGCAAACATTGGTTGTTTATATACTGAACTTCCTGTATGTGTCGAGGTTGAGTGTTTTATCTAATTGGTTGTTTATATACTGAACTTCCTGTACCTTTCACACTCTAGTTGTGCAGCTTACATTCGTCACTGCAGATTGTATGTTGTTGATTTGCCAGTTTATTGTCAACAGTTTAACAAACAACCGTATGATGTTTACAATACAAGATATGTTAGTGTCGTTCCCCAAAAAGGTTGGTCTTGACCCGGGTCCAGACACTACCTTCGTTATGATAGGACTCGTAAACCAGCTTGCCGGTCTTGTTGTTAGGACCCCATTCCTTGTTCGGCTTCAACAACACTTTCAGTCTCTGTAATAGCAAAAGGCAAACATTGGTTGTTTATATACTGAACTTCCTGTATGTGTCGAGGTTGAGTGTTTTATCTAATTGGTTGTTTATATACTGAACTTCCTGTATGTGTCGAGGTTGAGTGTTTTATCTAATTGGTTGTTTATATACTGAACTTCCTGTATGTGTCGAGGTTGAGTGTTTTATCTAATTGGTTGTTTATATACTGAACTTCCTGTATGTGTCAAGGTAGATTGTTGTGTTTTATCTAATTGGTTGTTTATATACTGAACTTCCTGTATGAGTCAAGGTTGATTGTTGTGTTTTATCTAATTGGTTGTTTATATACTGAACTTCCTGTATGTGTCAAGTTTGATTGTTGTGTTTTATCTAATTGGTTGTTAATATACTGAACTTCCTGTATGTGTCAAGGTAGATTGTTGTGTTTTATCTAATTGGTTGTTTATATACTGAACTTCCTGTATGAGTCAAGGTTGATTGTTGTGTTTTATCTAATTGGTTGTTTATATACTGAACTTCCTGTATGTGTCAAGGTTGATTGTTGTGTTTTATCTAATTGGTTGTTTATATACTGAACTTCCTGTATGTGTCAAGGTTGATCGTTGTGCTTTATCTAATTGGTTGTTTATATACTGAACTTCTTGTATGTGTCAAGGTTGATTGTTTTGTTTTATCTAATTGGTTGTTTATATATTGAACTTCCTGTATGTGTCAAGGTTGATTGTTGTGTTTTATCTAATTGGTTGTTTATATACTGAACTTCCTGTATGTGTCAAGGTTGAGTGTTTTATCTAATTGGTTGTTTATATACTGAACTTCCTGTATGTGTCAATATTGAGTGTTTTATCTAATTGGTTGTTTATATACTGAACTTCCTGTATGTGTCAAGGTTGATTGTTGTGTTTGATCTAATTGGTTTTTGTTAATGGTATTTGTTTAATGTATTTACGATAGTAGGCTAAATATGATAACGAACCATCATATGATTAAACATTTAGAATAAGGCCGTCACCATGGAAGGCCACAGTTTTTTGTTTCAAAGCAATGTGACCTTTCTATGTAGCCCGGCCAATGTTCGAATAAAGATTATATTTTTATACTGACCTATATGTATGCTTCAAACCGTTTATTTCATATCGTAATCAAGCGAAATGTGCTGACTACTTCGTCTTAGTTTATTATACTGCTTGAGATGGTATGAAAAATGTATGAATAACCATGATTTGAAGTAAGATCACGTATGCTTACCTAGGATTGAGACCTTACAGTTCTTGAGAATCAATGAAGAACCATGATTTGAAGTAAGATCACGTATTCTTACCTTGGATTGAGACCTTATAGTTCTTGAGAATCCATTAAGAACCATGATTTGAAGTAAGATCACGTATGCTTACCTTGGATTGAGACCTTACAGTTCTTGAGAATCCATTAAGAACCATGATTTGAAGTAAGATCACGTATGCTTACCTTGGATTGAGACCTTATATTTCTTGAGAATTAATGAAGAATGCTTACCTTGGATTGAGACCTTACAGATCTTGAGAATCAATGAAGAACCATGATTTGAAGTAAGATCACGTATGCTTACCTTGGATTGAGACCTTACAGATCTTGAGAATCAATGTAGAACCATGATTTGAAATAAGATCACGTATGCTTACCTTGGATTGAGACCTTACAGTTCTTGAGAATCCATGAAGAACCATGATTTGAAGTAAGATCACGTATGCTTACCTTGGATCGAGACATTACAGATCTTGAGAATCCATGAAGAACCATGATTTGAAGTAAGATCACGTATGCTTACCTTAGATTGAGACCTTACAGATCTTGAGAATCAATGTAGAGCCATGATTTGAAATAAGATCACGTATGCTTACCTTGGATTGAGACATTACAGATTTTAAGAATCAATGAAGAACCATGATTTGAAGTAAAATCACGTATGCTTACCTTGGATTGAGACCTTACAGTTCTTGAGAATCAATGAAGAACCATGATTTGAAGTAGGATCACGTATGCTTACCTTGGATTGAGACCTTACAGATCTTGAGAATCCATGAAAAACCATGACTTAAAGTAAGATCACGTATGCTTACCTTGGATTGAGACCTTATATTTCTTGAGAATCAATGAAGAATGCTTACATTGGATTGAGACCTTATAGTTCTTAAGAATCAATGAAGAACCATGATTTGAAGTAAGATCACGTATGCTTACCTTAGATTGAGACCTTATATTTCTTGTGAATCAATGAAGAATGCTTACATTGGATTGAGACCTTACAGATCTTTAGAATCCATGAAGAACCATGATTTGAAGTAGGATCACGTATGCTTACCTTGGATTGAGACATTACAGATTTTAAGAATCAATGAAGAACCATGATTTGAAGTAAGATCACGTATGCCTACCTTGGATTGAGACATTATAGTTCTTGAGAATCAATGAAGAATGCCTACCTTGGATTGAGACCTTACAGATCTTGAGAATCCATGAAGAACCATGAATTGAAGTAAGACCACGTATGCCTACCTTGGATTGAGACCTTACAGTTCTTGAGAATCAATGAAGAATGCTTACCTTGGATTGAGACATTATATTTCTTGAGAATCAATGAAGAATGCTTACCTTGGATTGAGACTTTACATTTCTTGAGAATCAATGAGGAATGCTTACCTTGGATTGAGACCTTACAGTTCTTGAGAATCAATGAAGAACCATGACCTTGGATTGAGACCTTACATTTCTTGAGAATCAATGAAGAATGCTTACCTTGGATTGAGACCTTACAGATCTTGAGAATCCATGAAGAGCCATGACTTGAAGTAAGATCACGTTTGCTTACCTTGGATTGAGACCTCACAGTTCTTGAGAATCCTTGAAGAGCCATCACACGATGGAGAATCACGCAACGCATGCTTACCTTGGATTGAGACATCACAGTTCTTGAGAATCCATGAAGAACCATCACACGAAGTAGGATCACGTATGCTTACCTTGGATTGAGACATCACAGTTGTTAAGAATCCATTAAGCGCCGTCATCCGAAGGAGGATCACGTATGCTTACCTTGGATTGAGACATCACAGTTGTTAAGAATCCATTAAGCGCCGTCATCCGAAGGAGGATCACGTATATATCGATGAAGAGCTGTGGCTTTAAGAACGATCAGGTTTGCTTACCGTTGATAGCGATCCCGATGTACTGTAGAGTCCATGAAGTGCCAGTATTGGGAGCGGAATTACGGACAACAAACCTATCATCACTCCGAGGGTTTGGGCATATTTAGGAAACTCATATCCATTGTGTACTGGTGACTTGAAAGCGAGAGTGGTTCCCAGCAGCGCGATCTACGGATTAGATTAACCATAAACACCAATAAAGGTATGCATATTGAACACAATTGGCAGAAATTGTAGTTTCAGGAACGTTTCCACATTTATATAGTCATAGTCATATCTGTTGAAGGGTCGATTATGCATAGTGACAGGTACAATGGTAATGATACTGGTTTCCTCATGATGGTAGGGAGAAACCCTATGCAAATATGTTTAATATATTGTATATACGATAATACCAACAGAAATATATTTCCCATTTAATCTGAATAGACATTATTATATTGTGCACAGTCTATCAATAGTCTCAAGGCACGATGTGGAAAAAGGAGGCGGCAATTTGTATAAGAAACACCCACACATCGTACAAGCGTCCGTAGAATTAAGTACATGTATCGACGCGCAGTAACTTAACAATAAGACATTAACATATAACATTATAAACAGGCAATACATATAGACAAATAACACTTAATTAATGTAACAGCTATTGTGACGGTTCAGTAATATGCTGTTACCTACTTGTGTAAACAGACATAATGACGTGATCATGACCTGGTGATAACTTACCAGCATGGATATAGGGGAGACAACACACCACGATACCCGGATCACGACCTGGTGATAACTTACCAGCATGGATATAGGGGAGACAACACACCACGATACCCGGATCACGACCTGGTGATAACTTACCAGCATGGATATAGGGGAGACAACACACCACGATACCCGGATCACGACCTGGTGATAACTTACCAGCATGGATATAGGGGAGACAACACACCACGATACCCGGATCACGACCTGGTGATAACTTACCAGCATGGATATAGGGGAGACAACACACCACGATACCCGGATCACGACCTGGTGATAACTTACCAGCATGGATATAGGGGAGACAACACACCACGATACCCGGATCACGACCTGGTGATAACTTACCAGCATGGATATAGGGGAGACAACACACCACGATACCCGGATCACGACCTGGTGATAACTTACCAGCATGGATATAGGGGAGACAACACACCACGATACCCGGATCACGACCTGGTGATAACTTACCAGCATGGATATAGGGGAGACAACACACCACGATACCCGGATCACGACCTGGTGATAACTTACCAGCATGGATATAGGGGAGACAACACACCACGATACCCGGATCACGACCTGGTGATAACTTACCAGCATGGATATAGGGGAGACAACACACCACGATACCCGGATCACGACCTGGTGATAACTTACCAGCATGGATATAGGGGAGACAACACACCACGATACCCGGATCACGACCTGGTGATAACTTACCAGCATGGATATAGGGGAGACAACACACCACGATACCCGGATCACGACCTGGTGATAACTTACCAGCATGGATATAGGGGAGACAACACACCACGATACCCGGATCACGACCTGGTGATAACTTACCAGCATGGATATAGGGGAGACAACACACCACGATACCCGGATCACGACCTGGTGATAACTTACCAGCATGGATATAGGGGAGACAACACACCACGATACCCGGATCACGACCTGGTGATAACTTACCAGCATGGATATAGGGGAGACAACACACCACGATACCCGGATCACGACCTGGTGATAACTTACCAGCATGGATATAGGGGAGACAACACACCACGATACCCGGATCACGACCTGGTGATAACTTACCAGCATGGATATAGGGGAGACAACACACCACGATACCCGGATCACGACCTGGTGATAACTTACCAGCATGGATATAGGGGAGACAACACACCACGATACCCGGATCACGACCTGGTGATAACTTACCAGCATGGATATAGGGGAGACAACACACCACGATACCCGGATCACGACCTGGTGATAACTTACCAGCATGGATATAGGGGAGACAACACACCACGATACCCGGATCACGACCTGGTGATAACTTACCAGCATGGATATAGGGGAGACAACACACCACGATACCCGGATCACGACCTGGTGATAACTTACCAGCATGGATATAGGGGAGACAACACACCACGATACCCGGATCACGACCTGGTGATAACTTACCAGCATGGATATAGGGGAGACAACACACCACGATACCCGGATCACGACCTGGTGATAACTTACCAGCATGGATATAGGGGAGACAACACACCACGATACCCGGATCACGACCTGGTGATAACTTACCAGCATGGATATAGGGGAGACAACACACCACGATACCCGGATCACGACCTGGTGATAACTTACCAGCATGGATATAGGGGAGACAACACACCACGATACCCGGATCACGACCTGGTGATAACTTACCAGCATGGATATAGGGGAGACAACACACCACGATACCCGGATCACGACCTGGTGATAACTTACCAGCATGGATATAGGGGAGACAACACACCACGATACCCGGATCACGACCTGGTGATAACTTACCAGCATGGATATAGGGGAGACAACACACCACGATACCCGGATCACGACCTGGTGATAACTTACCAGCATGGATATAGGGGAGACAACACACCACGATACCCGGATCACGACCTGGTGATAACTTACCAGCATGGATATAGGGGAGACAACACACCACGATACCCGGATCACGACCTGGTGATAACTTACCAGCATGGATATAGGGGAGACAACACACCACGATACCCGGATCACGACCTGGTGATAACTTACCAGCATGGATATAGGGGAGACAACACACCACGATACCCGGATCACGACCTGGTGATAACTTACCAGCATGGATATAGGGGAGACAACACACCACGATACCCGGATCACGACCTGGTGATAACTTACCAGCATGGATATAGGGGAGACAACACACCACGATACCCGGATCACGACCTGGTGATAACTTACCAGCATGGATATAGGGGAGACAACACACCACGATACCCGGATCACGACCTGGTGATAACTTACCAGCATGGATATAGGGGAGACAACACACCACGATACCCGGATCACGACCTGGTGATAACTTACCAGCATGGATATAGGGGAGACAACACACCACGATACCCGGATCACGACCTGGTGATAACTTACCAGCATGGATATAGGGGAGACAACACACCACGATACCCGGATCACGACCTGGTGATAACTTACCAGCATGGATATAGGGGAGACAACACACCACGATACCCGGATCACGACCTGGTGATAACTTACCAGCATGGATATAGGGGAGACAACACACCACGATACCCGGATCACGACCTGGTGATAACTTACCAGCATGGATATAGGGGAGACAACACACCACGATACCCGGATCACGACCTGGTGATAACTTACCAGCATGGATATAGGGGAGACAACACACCACGATACCCGGATCACGACCTGGTGATAACTTACCAGCATGGATATAGGGGAGACAACACACCACGATACCCGGATCACGACCTGGTGATAACTTACCAGCATGGATATAGGGGAGACAACACACCACGATACCCGGATCACGACCTGGTGATAACTTACCAGCATGGATATAGGGGAGACAACACACCACGATACCCGGATCACGACCTGGTGATAACTTACCAGCATGGATATAGGGGAGACAACACACCACGATACCCGGATCACGACCTGGTGATAACTTACCAGCATGGATATAGGGGAGACAACACACCACGATACCCGGATCACGACCTGGTGATAACTTACCAGCATGGATATAGGGGAGACAACACACCACGATACCCGGATCACGACCTGGTGATAACTTACCAGCATGGATATAGGGGAGACAACACACCACGATACCCGGATCACGACCTGGTGATAACTTACCAGCATGGATATAGGGGAGACAACACACCACGATACCCGGATCACGACCTGGTGATAACTTACCAGCATGGATATAGGGGAGACAACACACCACGATACCCGGATCACGACCTGGTGATAACTTACCAGCATGGATATAGGGGAGACAACACACCACGATACCCGGATCACGACCTGGTGATAACTTACCAGCATGGATATAGGGGAGACAACACACCACGATACCCGGATCACGACCTGGTGATAACTTACCAGCATGGATATAGGGGAGACAACACACCACGATACCCGGATCACGACCTGGTGATAACTTACCAGCATGGATATAGGGGAGACAACACACCACGATACCCGGATCACGACCTGGTGATAACTTACCAGCATGGATATAGGGGAGACAACACACCACGATACCCGGATCACGACCTGGTGATAACTTACCAGCATGGATATAGGGGAGACAACACACCACGATACCCGGATCACGACCTGGTGATAACTTACCAGCATGGATATAGGGGAGACAACACACCACGATACCCGGATCACGACCTGGTGATAACTTACCAGCATGGATATAGGGGAGACAACACACCACGATACCCGGATCACGACCTGGTGATAACTTACCAGCATGGATATAGGGGAGACAACACACCACGATACCCGGATCACGACCTGGTGATAACTTACCAGCATGGATATAGGGGAGACAACACACCACGATACCCGGATCACGACCTGGTGATAACTTACCAGCATGGATATAGGGGAGACAACACACCACGATACCCGGATCACGACCTGGTGATAACTTACCAGCATGGATATAGGGGAGACAACACACCACGATACCCGGATCACGACCTGGTGATAACTTACCAGCATGGATATAGGGGAGACAACACACCACGATACCCGGATCACGACCTGGTGATAACTTACCAGCATGGATATAGGGGAGACAACACACCACGATACCCGGATCACGACCTGGTGATAACTTACCAGCATGGATATAGGGGAGACAACACACCACGATACCCGGATCACGACCTGGTGATAACTTACCAGCATGGATATAGGGGAGACAACACACCACGATACCCGGATCACGACCTGGTGATAACTTACCAGCATGGATATAGGGGAGACAACACACCACGATACCCGGATCACGACCTGGTGATAACTTACCAGCATGGATATAGGGGAGACAACACACCACGATACCCGGATCACGACCTGGTGATAACTTACCAGCATGGATATAGGGGAGACAACACACCACGATACCCGGATCACGACCTGGTGATAACTTACCAGCATGGATATAGGGGAGACAACACACCACGATACCCGGATCACGACCTGGTGATAACTTACCAGCATGGATATAGGGGAGACAACACACCACGATACCCGGATCACGACCTGGTGATAACTTACCAGCATGGATATAGGGGAGACAACACACCACGATACCCGGATCACGACCTGGTGATAACTTACCAGCATGGATATAGGGGAGACAACACACCACGATACCCGGATCACGACCTGGTGATAACTTACCAGCATGGATATAGGGGAGACAACACACCACGATACCCGGATCACGACCTGGTGATAACTTACCAGCATGGATATAGGGGAGACAACACACCACGATACCCGGATCACGACCTGGTGATAACTTACCAGCATGGATATAGGGGAGACAACACACCACGATACCCGGATCACGACCTGGTGATAACTTACCAGCATGGATATAGGGGAGACAACACACCACGATACCCGGATCACGACCTGGTGATAACTTACCAGCATGGATATAGGGGAGACAACACACCACGATACCCGGATCACGACCTGGTGATAACTTACCAGCATGGATATAGGGGAGACAACACACCACGATACCCGGATCACGACCTGGTGATAACTTACCAGCATGGATATAGGGGAGACAACACACCACGATACCCGGATCACGACCTGGTGATAACTTACCAGCATGGATATAGGGGAGACAACACACCACGATACCCGGATCACGACCTGGTGATAACTTACCAGCATGGATATAGGGGAGACAACACACCACGATACCCGGATCACGACCTGGTGATAACTTACCAGCATGGATATAGGGGAGACAACACACCACGATACCCGGATCACGACCTGGTGATAACTTACCAGCATGGATATAGGGGAGACAACACACCACGATACCCGGATCACGACCTGGTGATAACTTACCAGCATGGATATAGGGGAGACAACACACCACGATACCCGGATCACGACCTGGTGATAACTTACCAGCATGGATATAGGGGAGACAACACACCACGATACCCGGATCACGACCTGGTGATAACTTACCAGCATGGATATAGGGGAGACAACACACCACGATACCCGGATCACGACCTGGTGATAACTTACCAGCATGGATATAGGGGAGACAACACACCACGATACCCGGATCACGACCTGGTGATAACTTACCAGCATGGATATAGGGGAGACAACACACCACGATACCCGGATCACGACCTGGTGATAACTTACCAGCATGGATATAGGGGAGACAACACACCACGATACCCGGATCACGACCTGGTGATAACTTACCAGCATGGATATAGGGGAGACAACACACCACGATACCCGGATCACGACCTGGTGATAACTTACCAGCATGGATATAGGGGAGACAACACACCACGATACCCGGATCACGACCTGGTGATAACTTACCAGCATGGATATAGGGGAGACAACACACCACGATACCCGGATCACGACCTGGTGATAACTTACCAGCATGGATATAGGGGAGACAACACACCACGATACCCGGATCACGACCTGGTGATAACTTACCAGCATGGATATAGGGGAGACAACACACCACGATACCCGGATCACGACCTGGTGATAACTTACCAGCATGGATATAGGGGAGACAACACACCACGATACCCGGATCACGACCTGGTGATAACTTACCAGCATGGATATAGGGGAGACAACACACCACGATACCCGGATCACGACCTGGTGATAACTTACCAGCATGGATATAGGGGAGACAACACACCACGATACCCGGATCACGACCTGGTGATAACTTACCAGCATGGATATAGGGGAGACAACACACCACGATACCCGGATCACGACCTGGTGATAACTTACCAGCATGGATATAGGGGAGACAACACACCACGATACCCGGATCACGACCTGGTGATAACTTACCAGCATGGATATAGGGGAGACAACACACCACGATACCCGGATCACGACCTGGTGATAACTTACCAGCATGGATATAGGGGAGACAACACACCACGATACCCGGATCACGACCTGGTGATAACTTACCAGCATGGATATAGGGGAGACAACACACCACGATACCCGGATCACGACCTGGTGATAACTTACCAGCATGGATATAGGGGAGACAACACACCACGATACCCGGATCACGACCTGGTGATAACTTACCAGCATGGATATAGGGGAGACAACACACCACGATACCCGGATCACGACCTGGTGATAACTTACCAGCATGGATATAGGGGAGACAACACACCACGATACCCGGATCACGACCTGGTGATAACTTACCAGCATGGATATAGGGGAGACAACACACCACGATACCCGGATCACGACCTGGTGATAACTTACCAGCATGGATATAGGGGAGACAACACACCACGATACCCGGATCACGACCTGGTGATAACTTACCAGCATGGATATAGGGGAGACAACACACCACGATACCCGGATCACGACCTGGTGATAACTTACCAGCATGGATATAGGGGAGACAACACACCACGATACCCGGATCACGACCTGGTGATAACTTACCAGCATGGATATAGGGGAGACAACACACCACGATACCCGGATCACGACCTGGTGATAACTTACCAGCATGGATATAGGGGAGACAATACACCACGATACCCGGATCACGGGATGTACGCTCCGCCCTGTCATTATCTGGATGTCACGACTGAACCGCTCGGCTCCTGTAATTAATCATCAGCCATCATTCATAAAAACACAACAGTGCACACCAGGCAAAAGCAAAGTATCTATTCAATGTTTGGTAGAATATACTTGATATGTTAGTGACTAATGGATGTCAATTAAGCATTATAAATATATACTTTATTTATTTTACAACAATTATGAAACAAGTTTTACAACTTATATAAATCAATCTTGCTGGTCCGAATGTTAGCGCGCGAGGGTTTTGATGTGGGAGGAAACCGGAGTACCCAGAGAAAACCCACGTTGTTGGGCAGGTGACCCCATACGTTTTCACGTCCGATCGGGGAATCGAACCCCGGCCGCCTTGGTGAAGGCAAGTGCGCTATCCACAGCGCCACCCGGAGCCCCATTAAGTATTACATAATTACATTGATATATTTCATTCTCATCCTGATAGATAGATTAGTTGATACATGTTGATGTTTGTTGATGATTTAAGTGCTTTTCATTTAAACATCAGATCATAATAAAAAGTATGTATCGCCGGTAGGACTTACCTGTAACTACAAGATCATAATGATTATACCGTAGAGCACTGATATTATACCAAAAGACTGCGTAGGACTCACCATAGAACCAGCCGACCACGAGGCACTCAAAGAAGGCGATGAGAAAGAAGCAGTAGGCGGTAGCGTACCAGTCCACTAATACGAATATGTACATTCCCGCCTACAACCAGTCCTTATAAAACTGACAGTGTGCATAGGTGAATATTATATACAAATTAAAACGTATGACCGACACGAAAAATTATATCAATTATACTATATATATAAAGCGTTCGTTCATTGGTAAACTGATGTTAATAAGGACCTTATTCATACCCGATTAATATAAGTGTCCTGTTATGGTGATGCCACTGGTTGTACTATTTCATATACACGCCAAATAAAAGCAGCTCAACGCTTAAAGAAACGTTTCATTTTTACTTAACTCCAAGTTTGAAACTTATCTTTCACAGATAGTTTGATTTCTTATCCGTTGCACAAACCCTTGCTATATTAGAAGCAAGTAAGACAGGTTAATGGAGCAGTATTTTTACATAATTAATACCATTTACATAATTAATACCATTTACATTATTAAACCCAACTCATATTACCTCATACATGAAGCACTTATTTATAACATTAACTGGCATTCTTTTATTTTGGTCTTCTTTTACTTACCGGGGTAGCAAATACAAGGCTGAGTAGGAAGAAGAAGCAGAATACCGCTAACAGGATTAGGTTCTTCCTATTCCCCAGGGTCCCGGGGTAAATATCACGTAAACCTCCCAATACCGTCTCCAGCTGAGCAAACTAGGGTACAAAGATACATCTCACAGAGACTATACGATAATCATAAAAAACGTATATACCTACAGCAATGAATACTGTTGTTGTGAGGACAGTCTTATAATTTTATACATTTCAATTTACATAATTGGAAAACAGTGTAAAATCATTAAAATTCATCTTATTTAATTTAAATATATTATACATGTGAAGTGGTTAACGATAAAGCTTCCATCCAATTTCAATTCAACATAAATTTGTTATTGATTTACAATTTTAAAGCTATTTGTATTTTTAGAATGTATAAATATAAATGTACTGGTTGTATGTTACCTTATAGTTTGTCGTTGTAAAGCGTAAGAAATACCTGACTGTCGAGACCGACCGCGATAAGCATGACAAAGAAGAGCACTGCCCACAGGTTGGGGAGGGGCAGACGCGATATGGCCTCGGGATATACTTGGAATACAAGGCCAGGCCCTGAGAAGGCAATATGGTTTTAGTCATCTGTCATGGGAGGAGAAAGTTATACAAACGCACTTAAGAATTAACAGACAAAAATAGCGTTAAATGTTGTTACTGTCATTTACTGATAACACGATATATGAACACTGATTACACCAAGGACCTAAGACACACACCATTAATTACAGGATTAAGATTAATAGATTCAGTATGACACATATTCGTGGTTGGTTTTGTAAAAGAACAACATTAAGCTCTAGCTGACATATCTTTAATCATATCAAATCCATGGATATATTACATTTAAAGTTCTTGGAACCCAGCATAACTATGTTACTGTCACGATAACTAAGTTTACTCATGAACCCTTAAAGACACATTCGAACTCTTCCAATTCAAAGGTTTGAATAGTTCATTATGAAATTTTAAGGGTGAATGAGTTAATGCGACACGAGTTTATTATAACGTTTACCTGACTCCGCGACCTCTTCTATGGTCATACCAGACTCGTGGGCCAGAAACCCCAGGATACTGAACACCACGAACCCACAAAAGAAATTGCTGAAGGTGTCTATGAATGCGATCAGTGCAGCATCGCTGTAAATAAACGGATTACTCCAGGGATTATATTAAACAAATAACGCTAGCTTACACAGGAAAGCGGCACTTATTATTGTTATAGTCAACGTAGTTATATCAATACCAAAGTCAGCCTACATTGGCATAATACCGAGCTCCATGGTTTTTGACGCTAGTCCTTTTTTTAGATAAATATTATATCTTTAACAGTCTCAAAACAATTAATTAATCAAAATGTTACTGAAAACTTGGTATCAGCTATCCTGGCTCTAGGACTTACTTGGTATATATGATATCAGCTATCCTGGCTCTAGGACTTACTTGGTATCAGCTATCCTGGCTCTAGGACTTACTTGGTATCATCTTTTCTGGCTCTAGGACTTACTTGGTATCAGCTATCCTGGCTCTAGGACTTACTTGGTATCAGCTATCCTGGCTCAAGGACTTGCTTGGTATCAGCTATTGTGGCTCTAGGACTTACTTGGTATCAGTTATCCTGGCTCTAGGACTTACTTGGTATCAGCTATCCTGGCTCTAGGACTTACTTGAAGCATTTGTTGCTGAACTTGTTGTAGCTAGCCATGGTGATGACTCCTCCCCAGGCAGGACCCAGCGAGAAAAATACCTGCAGAGCCGCCTCGAACCACACCTTATAAAATGTCATTGGTTGATGTAATGGCTTATCAGTCTGGAAAGTCTTCTTAGAGATTTTATTCAACAGGAGAAAATTTGGCATATATGCTCTTTTGTGAAAATGATGTACTTCAACGTCCATTGAAACGTTATTATCGACAAGTAACAGCGAAATCTGCAGAAATAATTATATTTCTCATAAAGTGGTAAATGTTAATCATTATCCGATTCGCTAGTTATGCTTACCTGAAAATTTGAGAGCCTGGAGAAATCTGGCTTTATAAAGTACATGACACCGGCGAGGGATCCTTCTAGTGTGAGACTACGGGCCAGTAACACCAACAGGAGGAGGTAGGGCAGAATGGCTGTCACGTACGCCACCTGGCAGATCAAACATATACAGTTTATAATTAGTAGGTAGTTTATAGTTAGTACGTACTTTATAATTAGTACGCAGCGAATGTTTTTGCTGGGGTTTTTAACACTAGCATTCTGTATAGTAGGCCACGCTATTGTTTTCTACACCTAACAATATTCAAATATCAATTATTTTTTTTCATTTCAAAATATGTTATTAATTCAATTGATTCAATGGGAATTGGGCAACAGGCTATGCCTATACAAGCCCTCTCCCTTGGGTTACATACATTTCAAACAATAACATAATTATAATTTAGACATTAACATATTAGCACTGGTTTGGAACATTAAATAGTACTTAATACTTAATAGTCTCTATCTATCTCTGAACTAAGCAAAGTAAAAAAATAAAAAATAGAATTACTGAGATAAAACAAATATATTTGTTATTTTTTCTTCACATAGTAACCAGTATATATAAATATATATTTCTAAATGGAAAGCCATGTGTGTATACTCATTTGTAAATAATCAAATTTTATAAATTTTACAACATATATTATTATCAAAAACTGGAACCTTCATTCAATACAGTAAATATTAAATAATATTAGTTGAATAATTTGTAACACCAACAAGTCCTCCATCACCACTCCTTCTCCAGATAACAATAATAACTGGGCAGCACTAAAATATCCATACACACCAACACTGTGTGCTCACCCAGTCATTGACAATCCAGAGCAGGAGCCGTGTTAAAGGAGTATTCATATAGACATGTATACATACACATTGGGACTATAATTAACAGTTATTTCAAAACCTGTTAGTAGACTCAAATATCAATAGTTCGTTAGAAAGTATAAACCTTACATCTTGTCAACAGAGCAGTGTTTTGTATCACTCTATCTTTTCCTAGAGTTTGCTTTTTTATTTTTGAATAAGGCCTCATTCTTACAGAGTGAAGACAAAATATTAGACACAATAGTTAAGGTGATTTTGACCTTGACCCTGTCCGTAACAACCTAAAGAACCAGCTTTTCCAGTTTTGCTCATTCTTGACTGTTGTTTAAAATTTTATCAAATCCTCTCAGAAATGAAATTGATAGAGTGATGACTAAACCCTTAATACTTTTTTAATACCAGGTATATAGTCTCGACAATTCTTATTATTTCTTATGAAATATCTCTCAGTTTTGAACACTTTCAAAACAAATGGAGAGATAGGTCACTCGGGAGCTATTTGTGTGCCTTATCTGACCTACCTTACCGGCGGATCGTACTCCCCTCACCAAACACAGGAACGTGATGGCGGCAGCCAGGAAGATGGTCAGCACCAGATGCCACTGTGGACTTCCGATCTGGTCAATTCCAGAAGATATTCCCAGGATACCGTACCTACCGACGGGGAAACAGGTATTGTGTCAATCTATCAGGTGTTATAGAAAATGTTCGTGACAAAATAAGCAGGAAGCAAAGTATTGTAAAGGTCTTATAATACAAAAGTATTATATCGAGAAAAAATACCTACAAATAAATATCCAATGGGTATCAACAGAAAGCATGCGAGGTACTTGGAATATTTTGATATCGGTGATAAATGGAATCGATGAAAATATTTTCTACAGCCGTTGCTGTTTCTGTTGGGATATTTACGGCAAAAACTGGTAGTTTTATGTAAAGTTCGCGGAGAGTTTTTGTTCCGAATTAAATGGATCAAAACCAGTCTCTATTTGAACAAGATGATTTTGGATTCATGATATGTTATTCTATGCACTTTCCAAACTAATGTTAACTCTTTTGAATAACTCCGATAGATTTGAATAAGTTAACCGTACCTCCAAAACTCAGTAGCGGCCGTCTGAAAGACTTGTGACGTGTTAAGTGTCGAATTGACAGCACCATCTGTATGCAACTGTGTCAGGTTGGGGAACGTCGTCTGATTTATCACTGATGTATAAGATATGTTCTGATTGGTCAGTGACAGATTGTTATGGTTGGATGATTTAGAGCGAATAACCACACAGTTGTCGGAGTTCCAGTCATTGTCACACGAGGCCCAAGGCTGGGTCGGGTAGAAGGAGTAGAACAGATAACACAAGACCCAGGCCACCACTAGGTTGTAATACCATGTCACGATGAAGGACATGATTACCATGCAGAAACCCAAACCTGAAAAATATAGGTATTGAATATATATTTTCATTTCATTTCACAAAATACCCTGGCTACATCATCAATATAGATATCAATATATTTGTTATCATGTCTGGAACACCGGTACAGATTTACACATTCCTCATCATACACATTGAATTCATGTTCGACATCTGCCATGTCAGATACTTTTATTACAAAATCCGCGATAGTTTCATCTGATTAATTTGCAACATGTTTGTACGCAGCTCTCACCTTTGAACAGAGGACAGATACACCATACCACCAGAGGACTTTTTCCAGAAAACTGTCCCAGGCCTAACTCCATGTAGTACAAGGGGAATCCACACACAACCACGAAGAAGAAGAACGGTATCAAAAATGCACCTAAACACAAGTCATAGAGTAGATTTGTAATTGGTATATTTCATATCCAGATAATATAACTAATAGCGTCTTTTAACACTAGAATACGGACTCAGCAAGGTAAGAAAATAGTTTGAATTTTAGATTATCGTTTAAGACATCTAATAATCATTTCAAAGCAAAACAATCGACAAAAATGTGGGATTAATCTCAGAAATAGAATGAAAGGAATACAACTATCCCAGAAGATAATCTTAACAAAAATAAATAGTTATTACCATAAGAACAAATTACCATTAGGTTATTTAGAGAAGTGTCAACAACAAGGTAGTTATCTTCTAATCAGTAGATTCATTTTGACACCAAAACAATGTTTTCTGATGAAACCATGCATAAAGTCCTTACAAAGGAGTTTTAATGCATACCATGCTGAAGGAGTAAAGCTATGATCAGCCGAATAATAGAAATATACAAAGAGTTGTGGCATGCCTCATTTAATCACCTCTGCCGTTCCTCATACAGAGGTAAGGCATGACACGTATTACGTACCTCCTCCGTTCCTCATACAGAGGTGAGGAATGACCCGTATTACGTACCTCCTCCGTTCCTCATACAGAGGTGAGGAATGACACGTATTACGTACCTCCTCCGTTCATCATACAGAGGTGAGGAATGACACGTTTTACGTACCTTCTCCGTTCCTCATACAGAGGTGAGGAATGACACGTATTACGTACCTCCTCCGTTCCTCATACAGAGGTAAGGAAATCGCCAGAGAACTCCGAGTCCAACTGAGTAGCCAATCAGAGACAAGAGGTATTCGGTCTTCCTTGCCCAAACTTCACGTGTGACTTCCCTCTGACTGCTACAGCCCTGACCGTCATTGTTCTTGCTAGCAGACTGCAAAGGTATGATTTCTACGGAGTGTTTTGCTGTGCCTGAGTCCATGTTTCTGTGAAAATTAAAGTAAGGATAATAACAACAATAATATCAAAAATCATGAACTTCCTGAGCATGCACAGTCGGCGGTTTGTGACCATGTAGAGCTGGTGCTGAATTGTTCTGGTCAAGTTCACTGTCATTAAATTATTTCACACTTTATTTCCAACAATATGCGGAAATCCGCATTCCTACAGTGTATTTCATAATCTAGAAAAAATCGTAGGTACAAAGAAAGATAAATCTAGGAGTGTTGTAGGTACCACCTACAAAACATAACTTTAGTGGAGATTACAGCCGATCAGAATAAATGGCTTTTCAACATTGCGGCCTCTAGTTCGGTTATGGAGACGGGTCAATGTCAACAAAGAAGATACCAATTTCTTATAAGGTGTGTTCAGAGTTCTTACACTGAAATAGCCGCTGACGGATGAGGTTATGATGGTAACCATAAATCTTGTCTACATTATATCGATCCAGCCAAATTTTGGTAAAATCTCACCATTCCTGAAGAAGAATTTTAACACTGTACCCCATATGATCTCTCTTATTGGTTCCGTCCCACTGCCACCAGTGGGGGAGCCTACACCCTCCGTTTATACAAAATTGAATCCCCCTTACCCAAGGCAGCTCTAGACAAAATTGAATTAAAATCTTCGTACGGAAAAATATTAATGATTTTAAGGTTAATTCATTTCACTCTATTGTGCCCGCACTCTGTCTCCATGGCGTCCACACTCTCTTTTCAAACAAAATTGAATCTATTTTGCCCTATGATATTCCAGGCCAAAGGTAGTAAAAGGCCGTTCAACGACGGGTGACAGAGGCCGCGCAACGGCGTAAGTCAACTGGTCCTTTTGACCAGGTGAGCAAAAACTACTCATCAACGTACTTATCAAAGACACTGCTATCTAGAACTAAATCATCAAAGTACTGAACAACGACACTGCTATCTAGAACTGAATCAGTAACGTACTGAACAACGACACTGCTATCTAGAACTAAATCATTGGAGTATATAATGTCAAAATGGCTGGGCAACCAGCAAAACCAACGAAAAAAACGATCTGTAAAGGGATTTCTGTGAAGGTTTTAAACTAAAACAATGTCTAGGTTTTTTTGCAAGCAGGTAATACATACTTTTAACTGACAAAGAAACAACGCATACGATGCTTTAACTGTCGACATAGATGCATCTCCGAGTCTGGTCTGGTTATCGGTAATTATTCATAAATGATTGACCTGATATATTCATCCCACCCTGAAAGTAAATATTCGTTTCAGCATAGTCTATTACTGCCCTTTGTCATACATAACCTTCCACAGATTCCATCACTATCTGAATTATTTCAATACCAATCGCCGTGTGGAAACATACAAAAGTACAGTAATCACCGACCACCACATCTTTCTAAAGACGACCATCTATTTTTTCTTGATACAGTCGGGAACATGTCAAAAGGAGCAAAAGTATGAACCGTCCGTGACTCTCCTGAGGAGTAAAATGGCAGAAAAAATGCTTCTCAGAGTTATTACAAATTCTGCTGTGTACAAGCCCCCTAAAATTACGTACTTGCCAGAAATACATATTACCTAGAAAGTTTCAACAACACCATGAACATTTTTTGCAGGACAAAAGAATCAGTGACAGTCAATACCTGGCAAGATTTCAACTTGCAGTCTGTCACTTGAATAAGAATATTGACAGACTCTTCACCTCAGTTTGGAACCACCGTAGGGCGGAGGCACCACGTCGTAGATAAGGAAAGAAAAATTATAAAGCACCAACCTATCATTACAGGGTTTCTATTTGGGAGAGATTTATCAACAATATCTTAAGTGATTTATCATTTACTCTTTGGGTCAACTGTCAAATGTGGATAGCAATGAACTTAATTTACCCATTACAAGGAAAGAGGTTGAAGATGCTGTCTTTCGAGCGAAACTTCATAAAGCAGCGATATATATATTCTATTCAGAGCTCAGTTTTACGTAACCCAGCGTGCATAGACCTTTTATTTGATATCTTAACATTTTGTTTTGTTAACGGTCAAGGTCCAGATATTTGGGGACATACTATTATAAACCCTATAATGAAGGCAGGGAAAGATCCAATGTCACCATTAAGTTACAGGGGGATTTATTTGATATCTATGTCACAGGACACTTTCTAACTAAAAACTCCACAGGTCCTGTTGGTTCGAGTCGAAATTTATTGATGACCGGAGTCTCATGCCGAGTCATACAGAAAAAAACCTTCCGAGACTGTCAAGGTCCGGTAAAATCATGTCCATGTAGTAGTCACTGGCCTGGACATCGTCCAGAGACTTTTTACAGATGCTTTAGACCATGTGGCTCCCATTAAAGAAATTCGCCTAAAACAACGCACTGAACCCTGGATGACCTCTGAAATACTTGACCACATATCTGAAAGGGTCTCATGGACTATATAAAATCTCAAACGTCGAAAGGCTTATTCAATGGTGTGGTCTTGTTAGACCTACAAAAAGCTTTCGATACAGTAAATCATTCTATATTGTGTGACAAATTAAAGTTTATTGGTGTCGAGTCCTGCAGCTGGTTTAAACTTATTTAGAAAGTAGATCTCGACTAGTCAGTGTTAATGGGGTACACTCGTCAGTTGGTAATGTCAACTGCGGGATTCCTCAATGAAGTTTATTGGGACCACTTTTAGTTTTGGTGTACATTAATGACATGAAAATAGGTATTGAAAATTCATGTAAATTACTTCTCTATGCGGATGACAGTGCTATTATATTTTCACATAAATGCCCTGAAACAATTCCATCTAAAATCACCTTGGTTTTGGAATCCTGTCATGATTGGCTTGTTGACAATAAATTATCATTATATCTGGGAAAAACAGAATGTATCCTTTTTGGTCCAAAAAGAAAATTAATTCAAACACTCAAGGATAAATTTCAGGTTTCTTGCAAAGGTCAAATATATATTCTCATTCGGCTGTAAAATACCTTGGGGTGATGATTGACAGATTTTTATCTAGAGAAGAAATTGTCTCCAATGTCATACAAAAAATCAATCAAAGACTAAAATTCCTTTACAGAAATAGTAACTGCCTATCCCAAAAAACACGAAAAACTCTATGTTCAGGTCTCGTACAATGTCATTTCGATTATGCCTGTTCATCCTGGTATGAGGGTCTTTCTAAATTATATAAAAAAAATACAAATAACCCAAAATAAAAATGGTTCGTTTCATCCTTAACTGAAACAACAGGACAAGAATAACATGTACTGAATGAACTACAAAAAAATAGTATGCTCAATGTAGAGGGAAGAGTTCGTCAACTTCGTTTAAATCATGCATTTAACATCTACATGATTTTTTTCGCTTGGTGTATTACTAGTTTTTTACTACTCTTACTCAAACTTGCGTGCTTTCTTACAAACTCACACCCTAATTTACATATAACTCATCAACAACACCAAATACGGACACATAGAGACGACCACGACACAACACAGGTAGGACACATCCCTGAGCTATTTGGGTTATTTGATTTTTTTTTATATAATTTAGAATGGTTTTAGAAAAAAATAGGAGTTGTCTTGATCATCAGTACATTTTATATTCTATTTTAGATAATAGGAAAATTAGGAAACAATCTACTTTTGTCTGCTTTGTCGATATGAAAAAGGCATTTGATTGTGATAGACTTGATTTTTTATGGATTAAAATGCAACATTTTGGTATCCATGCCAACTACTTACCAGCCATACAATCCTTGTACCATGATATCCAATCAAGGGTAAAGATTAACTGTAAACTTACAGAGGCATTTGAAGTAAAACAAGGTTTGAAACAGACAGAGATGTAAAGTCTCCCAACAATTTTTTCATTATATATAAATGATCTGGCCTCTGATATTAAATCACTAGGTAAAGGTGTCAACTTTTTTATATCGGTTTGTCGTCGGAGGTCGATGATGCCCTGGTATTCATACTTCTGTATGCGGATGATATAGCACTTATCGCACCAGATGAGGAGTCGATGCAACATATGTTGGACAAGCTTGATAGTTGGTGTAAAAAGTGGAAATTAGGCATGCTCGAGAACTGTGTTATGAAGTGTATTGTAAGCGGTATGTATCCCTAGTAGAACCAGTGCTATTGTATGGTACTGGAATCTGGGGTCTGAATAAATATAGAGAAGTTGCTATGGTTCAAAATAAGCATGCAGGTATCTTTTTGGTGCTGCTAGAAATGCAAGTAATGTGGGTTGGAATTCATGTGAAGTTAACCAATTAACTGAAGTTTTTAGATTTTATTTACGTAAAAAGAATTACGATGAGAGCGGACTACTGCAGACAATTCATAAATGGTCATGTTCTATTAGAAAATCCTGGGACTCTCTGGTCTGATAGCGGAGAAAAATGTAAGTGAAGATGATAAGTGGCAGTTGTCTCTGTGGGATGACACAAACAATGTAAATGGTAATAAACTGCGTACAGATAGAACTTACAAGTATGAGCTTGTCACTAGCAATTATGTAAAATCTGTTCATCTCAGAAGATTTTTTTTATTTCACTTTAGATGTGGTTCTTCACCCCTTGAAATTGAAAAAGCTAGGCATGCCCGACCCGTGATTCCTGTCAATAATAGGTATGTGAATTGTGCAATAATGATGTAGAAAACGAGTATCATTTTTTAATGAATGTATATTTTATGATGATCTTAGATCTGTAATTTTAACGAAGCAAACAATGTGTATGCATTTTTCAATGATATGAACAAATTTGAACAGTTAAGATATGTGATGTGGGAACCAGTTCTCCAAAAAACACTAGCTACCCAACTATGTTTCTCCCATATTAAATTATGTATTATAATTAGATGTGCAGGTATGGGGTGGGGGATATATAATTTGTCGGTAGGGATAGGCCCAACCAGTCTTGTATATATATATTACCCTGTTGTGGTACATAGTAGTATATATATGTAAATTATAGTTCTGCTACTAGTAAAAAA